TCCAGTGGATTGCCACAGCTAGCATGTTCACCAGGGATCTGCAAGTTGATCACTGTTTTAATACCATTCCTTCACATACACACACACACACACACAGAGATAGAGAACACTTCATTAGTCTTATTTCATCTGAGCATTCTCAGATAGACGTTGAAAACTGCTGACCGCAAAGTTTCATATACCTTCTGAACTGATCAATAATGTTATACTTCTCAATGATTTCTGTTGAAGGTCTGGACATGGCAAGAAGGTGATCAGTAATCCTACAACAACAGTGGAGTGTATGTTACATAGCAGCCACCTTTCTCAGTTTACCTAACAGGACTTCAAAGAGACATTAAAATTGAAAACATCAAACTCAAACAGAGAATTCTGGTAAATTAACTACTGAAGCACAAAGATTGCCTACCAGGATGAGTAGAGGCCCCTAATGGCCTGTTGGTCATCACTCCAATAACTTGGATTGTCATACTTGCAGGCTTGACCTCCACAACCGATTGAGCACTGCATATGCCCAGGGACAACATAACGTATGGCTTCTCCTACCATTGTGTACTTTGATCTGGGGGCTCTGACTGCAGTTATTATAGAAAAATAAAAGGGAAAATAATAAAAAAATATAATATCACACATTCATTTCTTTTAAGCTTCCTTTGCTTAAATCTGTTCTCTAAATGTAAATCAGAGTTATTTGATTAGAGATTTGATTAGCGATAGTGTCAAAATCCTTTAAGAAGTCTCAAATACACAACTGTTGCACAGCACAGAGATTGTCAAATGTAGGCTGTACTGTAACACCTAAATAGTTAAGATCATCAGTGCTCACTTATAAGTGTTTAATCCTTGTTTGGCATTGCAAGTTATCAGCGCGTTGCAGTAAAAATAGCTACTGTTCTGGCATGACTTTGATGTGGCTTTATTGGTGAAGTAAAAATACAACTGTAGCTCATCAGTTAAAAACATTTTAGTTATTAAACTGAAGGGTTTGCAGCATTTGTACTATACTTACTGTATTCCATCAGAAATCCACCTCTTGTCTTTGCATGGGATGCCATATGAACAGTCACTTAGGCTGACGGTCATAGCAGAGCCTTGATCATGGATTCTAGAAAAATGTATCTCATAAATAACTGGATGTCAAAACTCATAATCATGTATGACTGATACTGAGAGAACAAAATATTTTTAGATGTAACATGTTACAGAGAACTGTTTTCAGCAACAGTCAAAGATCAACATCATAAGTCACTTGCAGTCAAATGTAAAGCATATTAAACAGTTTCAAAGGATTTACCATCAGCCATTGTTAGCTTTTTCTCCCCCTTTTACCTCATCATATTACAGAATATATTCTTACCCCTTAAAACCAGCATGCAGAAGAACCAAATGTCAAACAGCTTCAATCAATCGAACAATGAAAACTAAGTAAATAAAAAGAAAAATATTAAATCAGTTATTTACCTTCAGCAGTTGACTCACGAACATTCACAGCTGCTAGTGCCACCATTTCTGACATCAACCTCAACAGCTCTGACTGGCATCTTTCCATCCCCGGCTCTGCGTAAAGTCAATCCTGTGGCCTTACTTTATTTGATTCGTCGCAGATTATCTCCTGTGGGGGCAATACAAGTTCCCCTCGATCCTGTGTGCTCCTTTGTGAGAATCTATCTATCCCACCAGACTGGGAATAAATAAATATGTGATATGTTTTGAAAAGAAGCAGAGATTGTGTCCCAACTAGTTACGTGTACAAGATCCTTAGCCTGAATGTAAGGATATTCTTGACTCCTCCCAGATTAGACTACTAATCTTATCAGGAACGGGTATAAAAGAGAGCCTCTACTCCTCAACAGAACACTAGCCACATATGCATTGCCTTCTAATGATCTAATGCAAATTTTGCTTTTTAGTACACACATAATATTCTCCTAACACCTGACCAAACTGGATTGCACTATGTAGACTATGCATTTTATTAACTATAAGAACATTTTTAGATGTGAACAGACATAAAGAGATTTCTAATATCAGTACACTTAAGCTTCCAAACTCTGCTGTGACAAATAGTAGGATCATAGTGGCATAGCAAGTTGGTAAAATCTTATTGGCTTATCTTGCTAAAGCTGGTTAGCTTCAGGTTAGAGAGGAGAGATCAGTTTATTGTGTGGAGCTTTTCAAGAGACTGCAAAGGCAACAATCTCAATTTAATGTAAAATGTTGCTGTTCATATCACAGTCAAATGTGACTAAAACATTATTGACTTGATTATATCTAAACTAAAATTGTTTATTGTGTGAAGTGGGTTTTAAAATTTTCAGCATATATTAATGCACCACTGTCATTCAAATGGCTGCATCAGTGTGCATAAACACTCTATTTTCACAAGGTTTTATATTACTTTTTACTATTTTCTTTGTGTTTATGTGAGTAAATAAACAATACGAGTAATGAGTAATATTTTAAATAACATCTAAAAATGCATTTTTAAATTTTCTGTTACTCCAATACACCAAATCCACCTGTGCGGTCTTGAGCATGTGACAGTGGAAAAAGGAAAAAGGTGTTTCAAATTCATGACATCAAATGTCAATAAGGTGAAATCCAGGTGCGTTTGATTATCAATGCATAATCCCAGTAATACAGTCAAGTGTAAAGAAAAATATTAGAAGCTGTCACATAAATGTATTGAACTTTTCACCTCCAGGAGTAAAATATTATCAGTCAGGTTGCTTTTTTGTTTTGTTTTTTTAAAATCCAGCAATGATATTGTTCCAACTTAATGAAATCACTGTTTCTGGTCACAAGTGACAAAACAAGTGACTGCACGACACAAGACATGTCTTGTGATCCCTTCAAACAAGCATGTGATGCTTAGATTTAATCTACACCCTCTTATCTCCAACCATAAACATAACAGGTCCTTTTCAGTCAATTCTGAAAAAGCTAATTTAACAGAGTGCACTTCAGTCAGAAACCAGCTCTGCCACAAGCATTAAAGACTGGATTTACAATAAGCTTACAAATCTGGTTTATAGGTGAAGAAGAATACTGGGGATGGAAGAAACAGTCACAGTAAAAATGAAATAACTTACCATAAAATCCTCCATTACATGCAGTTTTCTTGTATTCACATAGTTTTTTGAGAAAACATAGATAATGTATTTATGTACAGTGCCTCTGTGTATTTAAGGTGATAACTAACATTAATACATTCACATAAAGAGACGTTATTATGCTTTTCCTTATTTTCCATCATATATACAATCATGTGGGAAAGAAAAGGTTGTTGCAGAACTCTGTGCAGTCCTGTGAAAAACCAAGACTACCGCACAATTAAATAACTTGTGGGTCACCTTCAGCAGCAATAACTTCAACTAAACATTTTATACATGACCTTATCACCTTATCACCATATCATCTCACATCTTTGCAAAGGAATTTTGACCTACTCTTCTTAATAACATTGCTTTGGTTCATGGAGGTGCAGGTATTCATTTATGAGCAGCTCTGTTGAGGTGCTGCCACAACATTTTAATCATGTTGAGGTCTGCACTTTGACTGGGTCATTGCAACACATTGATTTTTTAAAATGTTTTCCGCCCTTGTGTTGTAGATTTGCTTCTGTGCTCGTACATTGTCCTGTAGCACGACCCGCTTTCAGATAAGCTTTAGCTGTCAAACACATGGCCTCACATTTGACAGCATAGTCAATGACTGCAAGGTGTCTGGGTCCCGTGGCTGAAAAACAAGACCAAATCATCACCACTCCACTACTGTGCTGACAGTTAGTATGAGGTATTTCTGCTGGTATGGTGTGTTTGGTTTTCAGCAAATGTGGGGCTGGGCATCAAGATCTCTTCTTTCTGAAAGGAGGACTTCTTTCAGAAGTCTTCTGGCTTTCTCTGAAGCATCTGTGCAAACCTAAGCAATGCTGCCATGTTAGAGAGCAAAAACCTTTTCCTGGTAACACTTCCAAAAATGCCATACATCCTGTCTTTTTCCAGTTGCATTTTCATGAACTTTAACTATACTAACTTCTGAGGGTTTTTTCTGCTCTTAAGTCTGTATCAGGTCATAGGAGTTAAACCCTCCTACTGTACAAAGCCTTTTGTTTTATGCAAATTTGCTCTAGGGATGCACTTTGCTCAGTGGCAATAGATATTTTTCGCAGACAGACAAAACAAAGATCAAACTGTCAAACATCAATGGAAAAAGTTACATTTATGAAGTAAGTAGTAAAATAGCTAGTTTTGTTTTAGTGTACATGACACGTTCTTTGTATGGAAGAGAATAAGAGCCACGTTTTTTCTTTCCAGGATTCTAAGAAAAAAAAATTCTGGAAAAGAAAAAAAAAGGGATGTGCCCACTTTTTCCTCTTCCGTAGCTTTGCCAAAAGAGTCAGCATCCTATACCGTTTATTCGAATACTCAGTTTTTCCTACAGATGGCAGCAGATATACATGTGTCCGCCGCTACAGGTCAGCAGTTAGCCCGCCTGTTCGTTGTATTTCTATGACAACAAACGGTTTGGATGAAGATTTCCGTGCTCCACATAAGCAAACTAAAAGGCATTATGGGAAACGAGTTCTTTCGTGGGATTGCCAGGCCAGTTTGCTGGGTTCACCTTCTACAAGTACTAGATTTCCCGACAGGCAGTGGGAGCGGGTGGGCGTTTTCCCAGCTGATAGCGTAGGTGCATCTCATTAAACCAAACGGACCATTCAGCTGTTTTGAACAAGCGTGACAAACTAGCGGAAGAGAAGAAATATGATCTTCAAAATAAAGCACAAAAACGCGCATATTATGTGACAGCATCAATCATTTTCTATATGTTTTATACACTCAAAATATGTCTGTCCTTTCTTCTTTTTTTATTACGCACACGAGGCAAAACAAATCAGCTATCACACATGGTAGGGAAGTTATTTTTTCTTCGCCAGTGCTTTATTTTGAAAGTAAGAACCGGATTTGCATACACTTTCTCTCGCCTTTGCGATTGGTATTCCTGCTCCCCGCACTGTCGCTCCGACAAGCCGGGAGAACGGAGAAGAAAACACAGGAGCGCAACGATGGAGCGTCTGTAAGCAGTAACAGCGGACTCCGCTGACGAAGATAACTGAACGGAGTCATCTACATGACCAAAGAAACAAGACCGGCAACAAGAAACGCAAACGTAACAATCATGCAATTTAAATACAGAAGAATTTGAGCAACCGCTCCTTCTTCAAGGTTACACCGCTTGAAGACGCCCTGACATCATCCTGTCGCAGATCAGCTTGGTTGATCTTCACCGGTGGCGATCATGTCCGTGGAAGAGCAGGGATACCCCGACGCTGTGCTGTTGATGGAGGCCGGCCCGGAGTGGTTGCGAGCCGAGATCGGGCGTCTCTCCCGGGAGCTGAGTGAGACCACGAATGAGAAGATCCAGGCGGCAGAATACGGGCTGGCGGTACTGGAAGAGAAGCAGCAGCTCAAGCAGCAGTACGAAGACCTGGAGATTGAGTACGAGGCCGTCCGACAGGAGCTCGATCAGCTAAAAGAGGTAGGCAGTGTATTAAAACAAATGAAATAAAATCACAGAATATGTAAAGATTAGAATGTCATCCAGGATTAATAGGCCCCTAACATAAACTCTAAAACTATAAAAATTCTATTCAAGAGTACATATTAAGAGCACATTGTCATTTTCATTGGATATGCAAACCTGCTACTATAATATTCAATATAGGGGCTTACTGTGATTTAATGTGTCATTGGGCCAGGCATCTGCCTCTTCCTACAAGGTCAAAACTGTAAGCAGAGGAAGGGATGCTTTCTGTTCCCCACCCCCTCCATACACAGCACAGGGTATTCCCCATTTGACTGCCACTTTTATTTATTTATGCTGCAGCTCTTAGGCCCCTTCTTCAAGACATTCATGTCTGGCTCAAAGCTAGAATAAGTCCAGTGTGTTTCCACATACGTTTATCTAATCAGTGCTTATCACGAGCAGATTTCCCAAGTGTACAATTAAGATTTTTAGTTCAGCAATACTTGTTGAGTTGTGTTAAGTACCAGACATAAAAGCAGTGCACTGAGATCCACAGATTGCTTGTTAAAGTTTTCTGTGTAGTCAGGCGAGTCCTGCAAACAAGAATATCTTGTTAAGCAGGGAAAAGGCGGGAGTACGTTTGAATTTTGAACCTTCCCGCTTAACAGAGGGATGAACAAATTTCAGAGGAAGCCAGATGAGTTGTGACCCTTTGGAGGAATGGAAAGAATGTTGAGTGCAGTGGTTCAAGCTGGTCTTGAGAGTCAGATAAAGGGTGTGACTGTTTTTCTGAACAGTGGTCCTACTTATTCCCTAACGTCATATCACAGCGTGTCCATTTTTCTTCGCTGGAGTAGCAGTTTGTCACTGCGTTGTGATTTTAGATGGAGAGAAGTATGACTTCAGAGCAGTTTGGCGCAAAAGTCCCTCCAGCTGCTGTGTACCTCTCATTCTTCTTTCTCTGCCCACTCATGGTAAAAAAAAAAGTTTCCGGCACTGAGGCGGGCTTATTCATAGTTGCTCACATCCTCCTTTAATATGGATTCTTCTTGTGTCCCCCTCCACTAAGCAAAACAACTAAAATGTGTGAGAGTGTCCTTCGTGATAAACCCTTTAGTGCCTTGCCAGATCTCTGCTCATTGCTTCCTTTGCATTTGGAGACACATGCAGAGATGTTTTCCAGCTCTCTGCTTCTCCCTCTTGTTTCTGCCTGTCTTCCTGTGGCCCACTCTCTTGTGGTTGTTAAAATAGAGAGGAGGAGGTCTTTGGGCTGTCTCAGCAACTGCTGCTTGGATTTTCCCATGCATTTCTTTTTCTTTTTTTTCTTTCTTTTTTTTTTGCCAAGAGAGGATCACTTTGTCAGAATGGACTGACAGCTAAAAGCGCTGAATAGAAGAAAATGGATTAAAAGAGTAGCCATGGCAACAAACTAGAAGTGATTTAAAAATAAGTAGAAACATTTTTAGACATTTTTCTTACTTTTTTCTGCTATGCCTGTTGGAAAGAAAGGCATCGGTTGGGCTTGTAGATTATCGTTGGTCTTCTTTCTCTTTCAAAATGGAGCACAAACATTCATCTATATGGGCAGTAAATGAGATGCGATGAAAACTGCCACAGTGTCGAGTTATGCTGGTTGCAGATCGCTGATCAGATGTTAACCTTTGAAAGATGATACCCAACTCCCAACCTAGTGTCTGGATATGAAGGGCAGAAGAGATGCTATCACAGGAGAAATACAAGCCCATTCTACACTAGGTAGTGGGTAACAAGCACAAGATATGGGGTAAAATGAAAAGCTTATGTCAGTCTCCACTTTAAGGACAACGTTATAATTCAGGATATTGTCTTGTAGGAAAAATATCATATGATTCAGTTGCTTTTGTCGCTCTCGTTGATAGAACTTTCTTTTAGGTCAGACGGACCAGTGTGGTTTTCCAACAACCGGGACCAAAGCACACATCTTTGGTCAGGTATAAATGCCACGTTCTCTTTGGTGCACAGCTGCTATTTGCACTAAAGGCGGCAATGTTTGGATTGTTAGTCTCTTTTCTCCGACTCGGATTGTCTGGCATATTTAGACGGTTGCTTAACACAGGATTCTGTTCAGTTACTCCAAACCTCCTTTTGCTTGTTGGCGAGCACAACCTGAATACAAAAGAAAACAATTGAGATTTATTCTTAGCAACTGAAATGCCTTCATAACACTGCGTTGCCTTCACAAGGACAAAAAAATGCAGTGAGAAATCATCATGAGTGTAGGCAAATTTCCCCTGTCACACAGCCAGTCCTGAACCCCTCAACAACACACACACACACACACACACACACACACACACACACACACACACACATTCCTCTTGAGGCAGGAAGATGGAGGAATCCCGTGCACTGCTGTTGCTTAGTAACTGCCCAGCTCTTTGCCTTAATTTGAACAGCCGTGCTGATTCCTCAGCAGGTTCTGCTTTTTGCGTACGTTTGTGGATGACTGCTGAGAGATAAGCTTGGAGCTAGCTAGAATAGTACACAGGACAAGGACTAGAAGCCGGCATGCATTGGTTAATTTTATTAATACAATCTTCCTGATGTTTTCTGCATCATTTCTATGTTTATTGTCGAGTATATCATGTGTACACCTGGGACTCTTAGCTCATCTGCTTTCCTGTTTTCTCACTGCACTCCAGCTACAAAATGATCCTGCCTGATGCAGTGATTCATCTTCTGGTGCATTATAATGAATGTGAGTCAGTTGGCCCAATGCCCTGTGCTGCCTCTGGGAGACCTTGACTATCATATTGCTCAGACTTTATCTTTTTCATACATTTCTTTTTGGTTATGCTACTTTTCTTCTAATTTTTTTTTTTGGGGGGGGGGGGACACAGTATGTTGTATCTAAACCAGTCAACAGCTGATTTGTATCTAACAAGCAGCCTGGCTACTAATAAAGATATGAGTGTGGACTTTGACCAAGTTATCACTTATTGCACAGGTTCAGTCACAAGGTGAAGTAGTTAATGATAGTATACCAACTGAAAGCACAAGATGACTGACTCTACTGTTGTTCATATACTTATTTTAAGCTACTCACAGATTACATCATACGTCACACCTCCAGTCTGAGTAATGTACAGCTTCCTTTGTACAGTTTGTGAATGTGTGGAGAACTAGAGAGGTTTTGTATGCCCTTCTGGCTTTTTTGCACCTTATAAATGTATATACATTTTCAGGTGTAAAACTGATCTGCTTGCAGTTTCAATGTGTTCAATGTGTTTTTCAGCTCAAAAACTACTGAACCCACCCTTATATGCTCCGAGGCCCCTTGCATGGAAAAAATTTAATAGTATGAAGGTCAAATTTTTCATGGAGTCACTAAATACACTAAAGTTATTGTACAAAAAAAGGGGGAAAACAGCTGATTGTGAGGGTGAACAGATCAGTTTGATCTTATTTTGTCATTCAATTGCACAGACGCCCTGTTCCTATCCTCCTAGTATACCAGCAGCATTGGAATTCAACCACACAATCAGAAAACTGAATTTTGTCAAGGTCTGTCGAACCCGGGTTCTCTGTGCTCGGCTGTTTGCCCTTTTGTGTGTTTCAGCTCACTGGGGTTAACTGGTCTTGAGTTTCACAGATGAAGAGAGACGGTTAAATGGCAGCAGGACACAGCGTATGACAAAGGAGCGATAGAGAGAGGCGTCCCATTGTAGTTACATTTGAAAGGATCGGTCAGTTTTGTCCCTTTTGAAATGGCAAAACCACTAAAGAATATATACCAATGTTCCCAGACAAAGCTATGTGGTGTGACTCTAAGCCCCGTGTTGTTAAATGGGTTGGATACGGATTGGACGTCAGTAGAAAATACGAGGTGGACACAGATCCATCTGGTGCCTTGTATGAAGAGTCGTAAATAAAGTCGCTCTCATTTGTAGTGCCAATGCAGGCTATGTTTCATCACCAGCTGCTTGTCTCTCACTTTTAGAATCTTTCTTTTTTTCTCTTCACACATTTCCTCCAACCATTCCTTTTGTTTCTCACTCTCTAAGCTTGAATATTTTCAATGGGCTTTCAATCTGTGTTATCTTGGACCTAATATGTGGCCTTTCAGTATTGTTTGGGGGTTTCTGATCTGCCCTTTTAGCCATAATTTCTTTTGCCCAATGGCAAGACTGCAGTTAATCTTTTCTAAATGGCACTAAATAAAGTCCCAAATCCCCTTCCCTCTGGGCATAAGAGGATGAATCCCAGCCGCTATGCGCAGGGCTTACGGCAGTCTGGGAGTCTGCCAGGACCAACAAAACTCAGCAGCTTCCACTGTCGGGCACAGGTAGGTGCTTTTTGGGTTAATGCTTCGCAGAGGCTGTCAGGTCTTCTTGGGGAGCTGCCCTGTTCTCCTTTGTGTAGTTCATCAGCTGCGTCTGGTCCATAAGCCTACTCTAATGGCTGCCAAGCTGAGCAGTCTGTGCTCTGGGTGCCGTCGAGCCTGGCAATCTGTTCCCTGAGTCTCAGTTTTTCTAAAGGAGTGCAAAGTATTGTAACCACCACCTACGCAATACATTTACAAAGGAATTTCCACTATATCTTTTATGTTTCAAGACAAGAAAGGCCCACTAATGTATACTAATGTTACTTTCTGCTTTGCAGGAAGATAGCCATATTATATCGCCAATATAATAAAAGAATAATTTCCCCTAGTTTTAGGTAAAATGATCCTTTAATCACGAATGATTTTAAAAGCTTTTGGCCCTAACTCTTCTGAACAAAATACAATCAGCTGCCGTCCACAGTTCGCACACAGGCTACATTTACAGCAGCAGTGGATGGCTGTTCTCGACCTCAGTGAGTAAACTGTTTAGAATGTTTTTGGCCTGGACGTTTAAAGAAAGGTCTGTTTGTGCTGTGTGCTTAAATGCAGCAAATTGAGGATTTCAAAAGCCCTGATCAGGCAAGGGCTGATTTAGAAAACATGCATATGTGTTAGCAGTTTCTTGACTGTTTACACGGCTGAAGTTCCT